CATAACGGATAACGAAAAAAGTATAAAGGGGCCTGAAGACTCAGTCTATCCCGACCAGCAAGCAACATCACAAACGAAGTTGTAGTCCCGGGGGGATCACTCTATATGCCGTTACTACCCCATGTGCGTTCCAAATTTAGCGGGGAAAGGGAGTGTTCTTCACCTTCTAAGGCGGACCCGCGCGGGAAGCAAATACGCCCCTTTAAAATTCTAATGTCTGCATACGAGGCGCGGAATGTAAATGTATTATTTTGTGTATACTAGAAGAAAACGTGCTAATAATTCAAAATTACGTACGTATTGGAGGCCGTGGTGTGTGTGTTTTAAAATAGGGTGTGCATTTAAAAAAAACGGCCGTGACTGTGCGTTTATTAAAACGCACAGTCACGCCGTTTTTTTACGTGGTATGTGCTTTAAAAATCATGTGTGTATATTAAATGGCGTGGGTGTTTTAAAAAAACGTGTGTTTTAAAAATGACGCGTGAATTAAAAATGATGTGTGTCTTAAAATGACGTGTGTGTTTTACAATTATGTGTATTTAAAAAAACGTGTGTGTTTAAAAGGACATGTGTATTTTAAAAATAATGTGTGTTTAAAAACATAACGTGTGTATAAAAACGATGCGTGTGTTTAAAAACGACGTGTGTGTTTTTAAAAATGGTACTACCTTCATGTCGCCGTTGACAATCACATTAACAACAGGCAATGTAAGGTAAATATAATTGGTAGTCAGTAGTGGTACTAAAGATTCATTGTCTGAAACATCTTAAATTCGCCAACATTCACTTTATATATACATGCATGTCACAAATATTGTGTTGCAAAATAGCTGAAATAGGCGGTTTAAATGTTTAAAAGAAAACATATCCGGTTCAAGAATTAATTACATTTTTATTCTCGTCTAAAATTGGATGTTTTTTTTTCAAAATGAATTAATTGTCACGAACGTTGTTTGGAATCGATAAACATTTACCGTTGACGGCGCTTTGAGACATTGCCAGAACTGGTAGAATCTCCTTTTGCTTTTCCGTCAGTGGCACCTAGGAGCTCGTCGAGTTCTCTCAACAGTTCATCTACCTCGTCGTGTTTCACCTTCAAACTGAAATCGGGGTACGGAGTTGCGCATCGTTTAAATTTACTGCGCCAATCGGAATCCCCAGAAACACTCGAGTTCAAATCACTGTGGCTTCCGAAACTGCTGCACCATGAATCGGCGTCGTCACATTCCGTGGCGCTGTCGGCGTCGGAATCAGTAGCATCCCCAGCAACTTGTTTGTGGTTTTCTTTCAGTTGTTGGTACTTCTGTTGAAGTTCTTCCTTGGTATCACGTAGCTCAGTCACATGGGTGGCTATCTCAATTGTCTGTTTAACAAGAGAACTGTTTTCTGTCTCTAATTTGTCCTTTGCCTCCAGTACTTCTACTAACCGTGGTTTCACTTTTTTCAAGTCATCGAACTGTAAACAACAATGAGAAATACACGTCATCATTACATGGTCGTGTCTATATAGAACAATATCGACATCAGGTGGCCATGGTAACAATTGTCAACGTCTGTTTAGTGACATGTAAAAGTAATGATATTGTTGTAAGTGGAAATTGACTGTTAACTTGAATAAATCCAAAAACTTGTGGAAGGGTTACGAGAAATGGTTTTATAATAGAAAGCATTATAACCTCGTTCTAAAGTTATTTGCAATTGTTTTTTGTTTGTTTGATTTTCTGTATGGTACAAGCACAGTCCCTCCATAAAGGATAGAGGGACTGTGGTTCAAGCGTAAAAACATTGAGCGAACTAGAGTCCCTTTATAAAGGGACTCAGAGCGAACAAACCTACATCGCCCTGTATAGTTTGAAGAAGTGTCTCAGTGATAGATTTGGCACATTGGCTGTCAAGCTAGCATTAAACATATGACGCTGTAAATGGTGCTAATCCTAACAGAGAATAGTGTAAAATATACAGCAAAATAATAGGTCTCACGCCTCAATTGCAGTAATTTACGGGTATTAGGAAAGTCGCAGTCCATTTGCTGGAGTGGCCCGACCCAACATTTTATATAATTTTTAACATTGAACAACGAATACGAGCTATCGATACGTAATTTTCATATTTAGGTTTTAGAAAATGACGTATTTGTTGATATCCGTTTCTACACCATTCAACATACTGAAACAAACATCATACAATATATCACATGAAAAAGACATATTAAAGATGCGGTATGGACAAGAACATATCATTTTTAATACTGTGGTTTGATACTGTTCGCACACGTCTGAGTTTTCGTTCAATGAAGCAATGAAATTCTCTATGATCACCGGTTCTTTTGGTACGTACAATAACAATCAGTGCGCGTGCGTGTTAGGGTTATCGATTTTTCAATCAGTACTACCGTGTGTCCTGCAACATTTTTAGTTTATGGTACATGATAACCCTATTCGGTATACAGTATTGAACACACTATTAAAACATCTACACTTGCGTCCATATTGCACCTATAATGTAAAACTATAATCAGGAATAAAACTATAGATTGAGAAGAAAAAGGTTTATGATTTTGAGATTTGTTTTTCATTCTTTATGAACTGCTCAAAAAAGGCAATTTAGATAATATATTCACGTCATAGACACTGTGCATTAATGTGTCGTATAATGTAGGCATGCCGGGCGATTGAGAAATGTTACAGTTTCTGAGAAATACAAATCCATTTTTTTAGGTCGGGTGGTGACATATTTGGTTTCACCCCACACTACTATGGATGCCAAGCAAATTACATAACGACGACCCATTCAAGTAAAACCCAATTCAATCACAAACATTACCTTAGCTTTGAGATTTCCAAATTTCTTGTTGAGCACGCTGAAAGAACGTTCTACTATCGGTTCTCGTTTTGATACAGTTCTCGTTTTGACCTCATCATCATCACTTGTGTCTGACGCCTTATCCACTGTTAAAACATTCGTTGCTATGCGACTTTTATTAAGTTTCTTGTTCGTCTCAGTCAACATCTTGTTGGCAACACGTAGCCTCTCGTTCTCCGATTCAGCAACAGCTAGTTTCCCCGACAGATCTTTCTTGTTTGTCTCAGTCAACATCTTGTTGGCAACACGTAGCCTCTCGTTCTCCGATTCAGCAACAGCTAGTTTCCCCGACAGATCTTTCTTGTTTGTCTCAAGTCAACATCTTGTTGGCAACACGTAGCCTCTCGTTCTCCGATTCAGCAACAGCTAGTTTCCCCGACAGATCTTTCTTGTTTGTCTCAGTCAACATCTTGTTGGCAACACGTAGCCTCTCGTTCTCCAATTCAGCAACAGCTAGTTTCCCCGACAGATCTTTTATTTCTTGCTATCAATCGATCAAACTCAGCAGTCAAGCTTTTCATTTGCGTAATTCCTGCATCCCGTGCATCGTCGATAAAACTGTTCCCCCATCATTATTGTTTCGCACACCTGTTCCGTTTTTATGTTCCTTCTCAAATTCCTGCACAATCAGCTGCAGCTTCTTGTTGTCTTTTCTCGTTTGGCCGAGTTGGTTGGATAGTCCCTCTACCAACATACTTAGATCATCCATTTCTTGCTTAGCGTTGCTTGGCAACAAATACGTGCGTGTATGGTTGACCTTTGTTGGCATTAGAGAACTCCTCATTCGTGGAATTGCTGACTTTTTTTCTGGTAGATTACTCTCCGAGTTATGCTTAGGGTGGTCAATCATTGTCAAGAGCCTGCTATTTCCCGGCAAACAACTAACGCTTTGACTCTTCGCTTCTGAATCGTCGCTGGTGGCGCCGTCTTCCGTGCTCGTAGGTGAAAATGTCCGCTTTCGTTTAAGTGCGGCTAGTTTCATCCTGTTTGGGAAAACATATTGCTTATATTAATATTAACATCGTTTCAGGAATGTGTATTTGTTTTAGAAACACGAGCTTTCACTTTTTTTCAAGTTTGTAGATATTCAAACTAGTTTTTTATTCAAATAATCGAATTGAACTTGCTGGTAATTTCTTTGTTTTTTAACTGTTGATTTTGATTTTCATTCAGACCTGATCTGTGACGTCATCACACGTTATTTACAGTAACAGTACAGAAAATAGTATACTTTTATCGGACGGATACTCAACAAAGCTACCATCATATTAGTTTTGAGCGGATACACCTGTTCAAATTAACATCACAAGTTTTGTCCGAATACTAGACCACGGGAAATGCTGTATTAGTCAACCGAATTCATCCAGCATCGATAAGCCATTTTTATCGGGATTTTAAAAGATAAGTCGTTGTCTTTCACTAAAGTAAAATCATATATCAAGGTTTCTTCATTAAATGAAACAAATTGATCAAAAATTATTTCCTTGAAACAAATCCTGGCGAGTAAAACAACAATTTTTAACTCTCATAAACAGCGCCTTCGTCGACGAGAATCAAGAAACCTTATTACGAAGAGGCTGATAATAAGTTGATAATGGGTATCGCATTTATAATTTCTTTGGTCGGTTGTTTGGAGTATTGACCGATTTCATTTGTCCGTTCGAAAATGGGCATAGTAAGTGCACATCGACCGCGGAACCCCGATCGTGACGTTCTTACCGTTCACATCGGAAGCTTTGCACTAAAGTGTCCGAGTCCGACTCTGTATAACGGTTCATATAATCATGCTCCATGCTGACTTCGTAAATAATATAAGACAGACGTGTTGATAAGCTACAACGACAAATGCACGTTTTATCGTGGAGTGATGTGACGTTCAAATTTTCAGAGAGACGACAACGATTGTTTCATTGCGTTTGTCATCAATAGGCGTTCCTCGGCGACGGTGACCGCGCACGCATAATGACGAACGCGCGCTTGACGCGCGCGCTTGTTGCATAGAGAGCGTCACCAGCGACCAGATAGAGAATCGACATTCCAGACACTGAGCTGGCTCATCGATTATCAGTGACGCAGGTCCTTTAAATAAGGCGGTTTCTTTTATTCCGAGTCAAGTTAGTTGTACGCCTAGAAACATAAAACATGGTGAATACAGAAAATTGAATACTTTTTTGTTTGAACGACCCCTGTAAAGAGAGTTCTCAATTCTCCAAAATGTTAATAACAACACGCCCCAAAAGTGGACTTCCTCGGCGCTTCTTTGATTGTAGCAAAACGTTTCAATTATTTATGATAGCGAAATCCCTTAAACTTTGAAAAATACCAGAAAATAATTATAACCAGCTAACCGAATATATTAAAGAAAATATAAGCAATCTTATTATATTATTTGGCTTATCAGACGTTTCTTTACATTGTGTACCACTCAGACACTGAGTAAAGTTAGTAAAGTCACGGTTACTAAAAAAGACGGTTAGGAAACGAATCATGTTCTTTTCATTGGATGCGTGTCGCGGGTAAACATTTGAAACAAAAGACGTACTAATCTGTGATAAATCATTAACATAAAATGTAGCAGGAAATCACGCAAATATGACGTCATTTTCCTCAGAGTTCATTGCAATCAACAACTGCACGCCATTTTATT